TAAATACATCGATGAGCTACAGAACGCTACAAGCAAGAAAACAGCAAGCAGCACCGGGATGATAGACCTCCTGTACGACGCAGACATCCCCGCCTTTGTTCTAAACTATTTGTTTTTATTTTAAATTAAATTAAATAAAATAAATAAAATAAATAAACTCAGATATATGTTATACTCCTGCATCGTTAGTTTACCTCTTGTTGTGCGAGCAGCACTTGCTGCTCTGCCACTGCTGCAGCAGCAGCAGCAGCAGCAGCAGCAGCAGAAGATGTGCTGAGTGTTTTTCTTTGTTAAAATTCCATTTTTTGAGTGAAAAAGCTTCATAAGCTGTCTTGGCTCTTCTTGGTTGGTACGTTGCTTCCTGCTGCTGCTGCAGCAGCAGCAGCAGCAGCAGCAGCAGCAGCAGCAGCAGCAGCAGCAGTATAACAACAGTAGCAGCAACACCAGACAGGACAGGCATAGTAGCGGCTCATCTCTTCTCTCTTTTGTTTATTTTTATATTCTGCGTTTTCTTTGCTTTCTCTTTTGTACTTATACACAACAAAACAACAAACAGCAGCAGCAGGAAACAAACCCTAAACCCTCACAGCCCCTTAACATTATATTATACTCATATTAGGGTTTAGGGTTTAGGGTTTAGGGTTTAGAATTTGGCTTGTAGGTAGCCGTTGACCGCGCTTGGGGCTGTGTTGTTTATTGGGTCTCCTGCAATACGAGGGTTTAGGGTTTATTAGGGTTTAGGGTTTAGGGTTTAGGGTTTAGGGTTTAGGGTTTAGGGTTTGGTCTGTTGCTGCTTTGCCTTCAGCTCGCAATGTCAACCGCTTCAAACGGGCAGCAGCAGGGGGGGGATGCCCCTGCTGCAACAGCAGCAGCAACGCCAGCAGCAGCAGCAGCAGGAGCAGCAGCAGCAGCTCCTGAAGCAGCAGCACCAGCAGCAGCACCAGCAGCAGCAGCAGCAGCAGATGCAGCAGCAGCAGCAGCAAAAGGTATTCATATATCTTTTAAAGTTTCTGGGGGAACACACTTTACTCTCGATGTACAGGAAAATTGGAGTGTACGTACACTCAAAGAAAAGTGTGAAGAAAAAACACAAATACCAGTTGCTGCTCAGCGGCTTATTTATAAAGGTAATCTAGGGTTTAGGGTTTAGGGTTTAGGGTTTAGGGTTTAGGGGTTGGATTAGGGTTTACGGTTTAGGGTTTAGGGTTTGGTGTTTAGGGTTTGGTGTTTAGGGTTTGGTGTTTAGGGTTTGGTTTAGGGTTTAGGGTTTGGATTAGGGTTTAGGGTTTAGGGTTTGGTTTAGGGTTTAGGGTTTAGGGTTTGGATTAGGGTTTAGGGTTTGCTTCTGAGGGTTTAACGAGTGTATCTCTTTCTCTTGGACTCGAACAAAAAGCCACGTAGAAAAAATACTCAATTAGGGTTTAGGGTTTAGGGTTTAGGGTTTAGGGTTTAGGGTTTAGGGTTTGTGTTTAGGAAGAATATTAAAGGATGATGACTCTATCAGCTCCCATGGCCTCAAGGACGGCCACATTATGCATTTGGTAAAGAGCGTAGCTGCAGCAGCAAGCAGCACGCAGCAGCAGCAGCAGCAGCAGCAGCAGCAGCAGCAGCCGCAGCAGCAGCAGCAGCAAACCACAGCGTCTGGAAATTCCACTGCTTCTGGTACCGGTACGTCGCCATGAGGACCTCAAACCCTAAACCCTTGTTTAGGGTTTGCAGTCGGTGCTTGCACAATGACGAACAATTCTAGGGTTTAGGGTTTAGGGTTTAGGGTTTAGGGTTTGTGGTGCAGGTACAAACCCAGGCATGGCGGGCATGGATCAGTTCCTGCAATCGATGCTCGCTGCAGGTGAATTATATTCTTAATTTAAAAAGGGTTTAGGGTTTAGGGTTTAGGGTTTAGGGTTTAGGGTTTACGAGGGTTTAGGATATTGAGAGCGAGTATACTGCGCATATCTCTTGTATGCTGTATTGTAAAAACCTAGGGTTTAGGGTTTAGGGTTTACGTATGTATGTTTCAGGCTTGGGTGGGGGTATGGGGGGCCCCATGGGGGGCCCCCTAGGGTTCAATATGGGGGCCCCCGATATAACACAGATGATGCAGAGCCCTTTCTTTCAGCAGGCGATGGACTCGCTTGTACAAAACCCTCAAATGTTTAGAAATATAGTTGAGAGTGTTCCTGCGCTTAGACCCATG